GAGAGCAGTAGGAGCCAAAAAACTCACTGTGAGACCTGCAATCTGTTCTGGGGAACCTGAACTTTGCCTGCAGGGTTGTTGCCCCGGGGAGTGCATTTTGTGCCTGGATGGTAGTGGCAAGAGTGGGTGTAGCCAGGCCACACCATTACATACGAGTCACTAGAGAGATGAAGGAGGATTTGAAGGTGTGGGAACGGTTTTTTTTTAAGTCACTTCAATGGAGTATCATTGTGGAGGGAGGAATGGCTATTACAAGGGGGTTTAAAAATCCATTCGGATGCTGCAGGGGGTACAGGTTTTGGGGTGTTTTATCAAGGCAGGTGGTGTGCCCAGAAACAGCCTGCCATTTGTACACAAAACGGAGTGGTGCATGATATGACTTCCTTGGAATTTTTTCCCATTTTAATTGCAGTGCTTATTTGGGGACCGGAGCTGGCTAAGAAGGGTGTGCTTCTGGTGTGACAACATGGCAGTGGTACAGGTTATCAATCGCAAATTTCCATATCGCACAGGGTTATGAAGTCGGTGAGGGCATTTGTTCTACAATGTTTACACCTCAGCATCTGTTTTTCTCCCAAGCATGTGCCAGGCATGGATAATGGCAAAGTAGACGCCTTGTCTTGTTTCCAGTTTGACAGATTTTGTGAGCTTGCACCAGGAGCTAGCAACGAATCTGAGCTCTATCGAACCTTGGCATATGATGTAGTCGGTGGCATGGAGATTCTTGGCTCCGGGCACACAGCTGAGCTGTGCAAGACATTGTTTTTTAATGAGTTCTTTCAATTTAAGGATCCAGAGTGCTGGTCACCTATACTTCCCACCGCAGAAGGCAGTTGTTGTGGTACCTGGTTGAGGACAACTCAGCGGCTGGTGCCCCTTGACGATGCTGGCATGGTGCAAGGGACAATGGGTTCTTGCGGGAGAATGGGGATTCACCTATTGGGGTTGCTATACAAGAGGCCATTGGGAGATGTCGGGGAACCTGACTGGGTGGGGGGGAGGCTGCCAAGCAAATTGCTGGCACCTCCTTCTGGCAGATGTCCAGTGCAGGTTCTCCATAGGGAAGGCATCCAGTGACCAGATAAATGGCCTGGTAAAGGACTTAAAAGGAGGTGCTAGATAAAGGAACAGAATGGGGGAGGGAAGTTGGGGACTCCTATGATTGGTACGGCAGGGAGCCGACCCCTCCCCCCATTCTCATAGTCACCGTAACCCTCCTATGAGGGGGGTGGATGGTAAGTTCCAAGCCATAGGTTGGCTGGGGGGACCGGGATGGAAGATGAAGCGGGGCTGGTGGAAGCCCCAGATAATGATTTGAATAAATGTGGATTTGCCTGCACTGTACACTTTATCTGCTGGGTTGTCCCGTACATCTATATAATAAAGTTGTGGCCTGATTAAATTCTATATCATGTGTCTGCTGTCCTTCTTTTGTTATATCCAGACAATAATAGACCATTCATTTAATACAGTGGACCCCAAAGATACTTAAAATTTTAATTCAATTAGGTCTCCCAAGGATATTGCAGGAAATTGCTATATCTTTCTCAATAGCAGTGATAAGAAATCTTTAATTTGAAGTGAGAAAGCCTTACTAAACAGAAATGATACTAAGGCAAAATTGAGGAAGACATGACGCTTAACTTTAGTACATGTTACTGTGAGTGGAAAAGAAAAGAATGTCCCAGCGAAGTGTTAAGTCTGGTGCAGAAGACAGTCCAATGCAGGTAACAAGTTGGATTAATTGGCAAGTGCCTAAGAAAACACCCTGTGTCCGAAACTGTCAGGGCAGTTGCTTGTATGAAGCTTGACAAAATTGGGATGTGGCAAGACTAGGCAATGATATAACTGGGACATGGCAAGATTCAGAAAATGGGTTGGGGTGACCTCTGGGCTGCCTTAGGATTCAAACAAAGGAGTCTTACTATGTTGGAGAGAAGAGTTAAACATACCAGAGCAAGTCCCCAGTAAAGTGTTGGTTTTTTTTAAATTTTAGTCTAACAAACTCCCTGACTTTACTGATTTAAGGACCTCAGGATTTGGCCCATTATATTCTGACAGCATGGAGAGCTTTAGCTGTGGTTATGGAATGGACAGAGACTTTCTGATAGGAGTACAGGTTAAAAAGGAAGCAGCACTTGGAGGTTTAATCCCACCATAGCTACATTTTGCTCCATGTTCAGGGACAAAGTGGAGGAAGTTAAGGGAGAGAGGCTGGGTTGTGTTCCAGAGAGATAAGGAAGAGTGTCATCTGAGCACAGGGAAGGGGAGGCCAAAGCAGTAGAAAGGTGGAGGGAGGCAATATAACAGTGATCAGGAAAAGGGAAGAAAAGCAGCCCAACTGGCAGTTGAAGGGGAAGATAGGGCATGGTGAGAGGGGAGAGGAGAGGCAGTCAGGAGGCATCGTTAGTGGTACAATAAGTTTATATGCAGATTTTCTTAATGTGAAGAGATGCATATCATCAAACCAATTGACTTTGTGTATCATCAAGTTTTCCAACCATCCAGTACCTCTTTTTTAGCTGTTTCTATAAATTCTAATTGTCCAAACTTCTTTTCTTTATTTTTCTTCTTGAAGCCATCTTTTAAAAATGATTTCAATATCCCATTGGTGTTTGAATTATCATTAATTTTATTACTCTCCTCACTTATGGACTTTCTCTGTAATATTACTCCCTCACCTGCTATTTTTAATAAAATGACTTGTTATTCCTTCTAACTGTTTTTGATAGTAAGAAGATGTTTTGCTCCTCTCTATTAAGGTTAACCTAGAAATCTTAATTGCCATTTTGTATTCTTCTCCCTTTACCCCTTAAAGTCCAGGGGATAGGAGATTTTTGAGGGGTGGGGAGTTGACTTTTTAAACTGAGATCTTTGAGCAGCCCCTTGTGAAGTTACATTGGACGCTACTTGTTTGCAGACTCCTCTTTCAGAGAAATTGTGTGTTGTGTCTTGTTCTGCTGCCTTTTAGGATTCCACAGCCATATTCCACATGCTGATTTTCATAATTGCTCTAATCTGACTTTACTAAAATACTTAGTTCCTCAACACTTCATTTTTTGAAATCTTCTACCCTTGAATTGCTCCATTATGTACACATATCTTGTACTGCTTCATTTTTTGTACTATGCTAAATTGATGTGATTTGTGGTTTCTGGTTTCAAGCTTCTCTACTATTCTCAACCAGTTCCTCTCTGCTGGTAAGAAGTAAATTCAGGATGCTTCTCCTGTACATGCAGGTCCCACTTTTCACATCATAACATTCTTCCTTTTTATGTAGAAGACAGCTTTGATGCATGTTTGGCTTCACTTTCCGCCCAACAAATCTATAGGAATATAAATTCTCCCGTAAGGCTGGTATCCCATGGTTTCCAATTGCCTGAGAATTGGGCCATACATTTTTCATTCTCGCTTTCATCTGGTGTTTGTAGTCTGTAAGAAGATGCTTCTTGTTTCTCATTTATTTTTCTTTCTTTGTAGCCTAATCCAAAAAACTTCACCACCATTCTCTTCACTGTCAAATTGTGCTTTGGTGGCATTGTAAATAATGTAATGTATAGCAGCATCCTTCCACCTCTTCTTTAGAGCTTATAGGCGATTAATTCAGTTTTAATGTTAATAAAAAAATTGCTTGAAAATGATCACAAATCTCATTCATTTTCCAAGAACACTAACTCCAGCAATAAGCAGTTTTTAAATTTTTTTTTGTTCTGTATTTGTTACCCTTTATATGGAGGTGCTTGATCATATGCCATAGAGAAGGAGGGAAGGTTTTCTTAGACAATGTTAAAGACATCTGAATACATATATCATTTGGTGTTTAAATATTTAAAACCTTTCCACATGAGGCTAGTATATATTTCTATATCCAATGTTGTTTTGATGAGCATTCAGGTCATATTTGTATAATTTCTTTTAAATCCCTCAATGCTCATTTAATTTTTTAGGTTTGTTTATTTTTGTCCTCGAAGTGTGGTACAGATCTGTTTTCAGTATAATTATACTGCACATTTATTATTTTTTTAGATGCTTGTAGAATGGGCACCCAGAAGACAATACAAACCGTTACATGTCAGTATGCATGTTAACTGGGCATCAAAAGGATAAAAACTGCATTAAATAAGAGTTGGATTAAAAAATGTTGTTAAAAAATAACAACAACAGAAACAACCCATCAGGAAAAATCTTGTTGAATCTTAAAATTAGAGACCGAGTTCCTGCTTTGAAATGTTGGTATTGTGGAACTGACTGGGCATTAACTGCATTATTTTTATTCGTAGTAGTAAATTGGTTATTCTCATCTAGGCCAATGTGGTAGTAATGAGTTCCCAGTTGTGAGGCTGTTGTCTGATAATCAGATGGATTGCAACCTTTGACCTGATTCTACAACTTGCTCTGTGTGGGTAGCTCCCTGTGCCCAAAACCTCATTGATTTCAATAGAGCTCTATGTGAGCAAACACTCACCTGGAGCTGGTTGTTTGGTTCAGGACTTAGTTTATCTGGCTGCATCTTTGTCCCATATGCTTCTTGCCCATTTGATAATATACCTTTTGCAGCATTGCTAATCATGTATTCAGTGTCCAGTTGGAAGTTGGGGTGGGGAAGAATTAAGCTTGTATGAAATCAGTATACCAGGAAATTATTATACTCTCTTGATAGTCATTAAATGTAAGTATGTGGGGTTCATCCAAAACTCATTGAAGTCCATTAGGAATCTTTCCATTGATTTCAGTGAGCTTTAGATCAGGCCCTGTGTGTGAGATTTTTACAAAATTCTGCAGAAATAGGAAATAAACTGCTAATTTGCTTTTCTGATTTATGTTAATTGTGCTGACTTGCCTTGGAGTAGGGCCTCTTAAAATGAGATTTTCAGCTGTTGAAAAGGCTATATCGAAAAACAACAGCTGAAGAAGTTGAAAGTAGAGTTCAGCAGATGAATAATTTTGTTTGATATATTCTTTATGTGAAACATTCAGTTCTTGTTTTCTCTTGATCATAGACACTCTATCACAACAAGTTTGTGTTACCACTGATATGAAAGAAGATGCTGTGCAGTTAGGTTTTCTCCTTCAAGAAACTCTGAAAAACGAAGTAAAAGTAAGTACTAACACATAGCATATGTGTTAGTAATATTACTAATAGTCTGTTTCTGGTTGCCATCAACTCTTAAGGAAATGGACCAAATTTCACCATTGTGTTAAAGACAGTATCCAAGGCCCTCTGTGCCACTAGAATAATTTAAATGGGAAAAGGAAACTAATCAGCTATTCTGCGTCCAGTTTCATACATGTGTCTTGCCAAAACTTTGAAAAGTACGTTACTGGCTCTCAGCACTTGAGAAATATATCCTCAATTTGTTTGAGACCGCTTTGCCACTCTAGTCCATAAGACCAAATATATTAGGATTCACTAAGTATTTGTGCTTACTTCTTCATGCAAAGTCTAAAGAATCATTGGCTACACTATTGTGAGATAGATTTCTCTGATTATTCAATTAATTCACCTCTCCAGAGGACAGATTGTGATGAGAGATTCCAAAAGCCAATACCAACAGAAAAAAACACCTCAAAAATTGTATCAGTGAACTGAAGGAAATGCAAACAACAACTTTTCTGAGAGAATTCCAACACTTACCTTGTCTCATGCAAAGTAGCACCTCTCACAATGATTTTTAACCAGAACTTTATAATAAAATACGTGACTAATAAATTAATGTTGTTACTGAAAGATACTTTTCACAACTCACATATCTATTATTGTAAAAGAACGAGGTCAACAACCTTTCCTATTCATTGCAATTGTTAATTTATTCATTGCCTTGTTAAAACAAGTAAATTTATAAGGAGACTAAAGATGTTTCCTTCTTTGTGCTCGAAAATTATGCACCGCTGGTTCCTCAGTCCCGGGTCTCTCCTATCCAAAGATTGCCAATTGTGATGAATATGGCTAAGTTGTGTACTAGTTTTGTGATTAAATAAATATCCACAAGGGACTAGATTGAAACTATTTCATTCATTTCACTTGGGATGTAGGCCAGGTTCACTAATGCCTTTCAGTGCATTAATCACAGTCCTCTGGAATGGTATTAATTATGTGTATATTTAATAAAGTTCAACTGTAATATTTTAACATTTTCTATGGATGCCTGCTGCATGGGTATTAATCTGTTTTTATAAATACGGAAATAAAAGAAAGTTGAAACCGTAACATAGGTGGCAAGGTAAGTAGGAAAAATGTGTTTTCTCTAAAAATAGTGTTTTCTATACAATTCATTTTATATTACAAAATGTCAAGGTTGTTTAAAATTTCCATCTTATGAATCAAAATGGCATGTTTGTGACCATTTTCTATAACTGAAAGCTAATTGCTCCTAAATCCAGTAATGATTTGGCAAGACCTCTTATCTCCATCCATTTAGTTACATAAGCATACTTTACTCATCAGGTGTTATTTCTGCATGTTGTTTACTCACCAAGTGTTATCAAAGCTTAACTGAAAACACCAGCTCGTATCCCTCAGCATTTTTAAAAACATTTTTATTCAAAATACTGGCACACAGACTGAAAATCAGCTCCATTTGGCTGCTGCATTTCTTATTTGCTGCTGAACTAGAAACCTAAGGGTCAATGACACTTAGATTCCTGCTTTTGTGAATAGTTCAGTAACTTGTGGGTGAACTGCAGCATATCTTTTAGAAAGGCATCCTGTCTTGATATAAAGATTTCAAAGATGGAGAATCCACCACATCTTGTGGTAGTTTTGTTCTGATGGTTAATTATCTACTGTTAAAACATGATTTTCTATTTTGAAAGTCTAACCTCAATTTCCAGCCACTGGATCTTGTTATGCTCTTGTCTGCTAGGCTGACACATGTTTTTCTATAACATAATTTCTCTTTATGTAAGTGTTTAGGTTGTAATCAAGTAATCTCTTAACCTTCTTTTTGATAAGCTAAATAGATTGATCTCCTAAGTCTCATTTTCAGGAATGTTTTCAAGTTTATAAATCATTCTTGTGGCTCTTCTCTGAGCCCTCTCAATTTTTCAGATTCCTTTTTTTGAAGCATGGACATCAAAACTGGACATGATATTTCAATAGTAGTTTCATCAGTGTCATATTGTGAAGGTATAAGGGATACCTTTCGACTGAGGTGAAAGGCCAGCAGCTGGCTGCTGCACCTGGGAAAAGACCTGCAGCTTAACTGGCTGATCCTCATAAAAGGAGGAACAGGAAAGGAGAGGGGGAACTGCCATAGGCTGGAGCTACTGGTATGAGGAACTGCTCCCAGAAATAAAAAATGGACAGAAGGGAGACTGTGGGAAATCCTGTTATCAAAAAGGCTCTGAGGTAAGAGCCAGGAACTTTGGGTTGAGGAACTTATGGGGAGTGAGGGACAGACTTAGGAAAGTTTTGATCTCGTTGAGAAGACTGGAAACTACGTTGTCTGGGCTTGGTGAGAAGGTTCCAGGCAGAATTCCCCCGGGAGGGCACTGGTTCAGCATAAGCAACCCAGGGTCCAGCAGGAAGAGGACTTTATAGGACGGGCCCCATTCTCTTCCACATATACAGCAGTAATGTAACCTGCCTACTGCTATTTGATGTTCGCGTTCATACATTCAAGTATCACAACAGCTCTTTTGGCAAAAGTATCTCACTGGGAGCTCATATTGTCTTGTTTAGCCACTTTAACCCCTAAATCCTTTTCAGAATAACTGCTTTCCAGGATACAGTTCCCTACCACATGTGGTTGTCCGGCATTATTTGTTCATAGATGTACGATCCTATATTTGTCCATGTTGAACTACATGTTGTTTGATCACGCCCAGCTTACCAGTATTCAGATTGTCTGTAACTGACCTGTTCTTATCTATCACCTAACCAATCTTTGGGTCATGGAAAACTTTATCAGTAATGATTTCTTCCAGATCATCAATAAAAATGTTAAATAAAGTTGCACAAGAACTGAACCCTATGGGATTCCTAGTGTAATGTTCTCAGTCTCCAAGGTTCGATGCTCAGTTTGTCTCATCTTTCCTGCCTGCCCCAAAGAGTGAGTGCTGTCTTGGTCATGAATTACGGGTTGGGGGCGAGGGGAAGGCAAAAAGAATTGTAGAATGCAGATGTAAAAAAATGACGAGAAGGCTGAAAGTTCAGATTGCTAAAACTCTGGAGACCTTTATGACCCACTCTAATAATTGTCAAGTCATTGTTTAAAAGTATCCTCTTTCACTTGTTAAACCAGAACTAAAGTGGGATTGATACTTGCTTATCATTTCTGACATTGTGTCTCATATAGTGCGAATGCCCAGTATTTCTCCAAGAGTATGTAGATGATTGGGCAAGAAGCCTGGAATGCCATAGAATGGAAACAAAGAATGATAATAGTTTGACTTACAGCTTTCAGAATTTTACACTAAACATACTAGATACTGCAAATTGTAAGGAAAAGATAGAGAGACAGATCTGCATTGGTGGATTGCATGAGAAACCGAAACACCAACTCAAATGTTATCATTCCTTGGGGCACAGCATTTTGGAATCAGGTGTTGTCTTCCCCAGCAAATATATGGAGAATTCAGCTGATCAGCACTCCAGAGTATACGGTGTACCAAACAAATTGACAATGAATACCACGAAGAAATCCTATTGGGATGTGATGCAATATTAAAAAAAAAATAACTTCTTTTGAGTTTATTGTACTGGCAGATTACTCTTTCTTTAAATGTAAGGAAAATATTGGAAGATAACTGTATAACTTGTTTAAAATGATCTACTTTATAACATATTTTCCAAACAGGAAGGTGAAAAATCCCCAGGGTCTCTGCCGGTCTGACCTCTGGGGAAATTCCTTCCCAGCATGGGACATGGGTCACTTGCAGGTTTAAACTAGTGTAAATGGTGGAGTCTCTGTAACTTGAAGTCTTTAAACCATGATTTGAGGACTTGAGCAACTCAGCCAGAGGTTAGGGGCCTATTACAGGAGTGGGTGGGTGAGGTTTTGTGGCCTGCAATGTGCTGGAGGTCAGACTAGATGATGACGGTCTCTTCTGACATTAAAGTTTGTGAGTAAGTTTCCAGGCAAAACAAAAGGCAGCATGAAGCTATTTCTGGCTGGCCTTTTATTTATTCCAAATTAATGTCTTATGTTAGCAAACATTTCCCCCTCTGATCTGTAATTAGAAGCTTTATCTTAACATAAAGCAAGCCTGAAGTTGATATTGTATTGGAGTCATTTTTGTTAGGATAAGAACACTTCTTAACTGATACTATGCAAAAATCATTATTTATTAGCCGTAATACAATTAGAGACTCTTTTAAAGTATTTATTGAAAAAATGGTCCTCAGGAGAAATTCAAAGTGTTAATCACTGTATATAGAAACTTAAAAGTTCTCGACCCTAAAAACAGCCTCTCCATCTCCAATGCTCCATCTGTCTATTGGAGACCATGGAACTTGCCATTCCAGGGTTGAAGCTTACAGGGGCTGGAGGCAGGGTATTCTCAGTAGCAGGCCTATATCTCTAGACTTGCTCTTTCCAGCAATAGCACTTAAATGTGAATCTGGCCAGGGTGATAAAGATTTGAAGGATACACCTATTTGTCCAGGTTTTTTCAACTGATAACGGTGTCCTGGCTTTTAGTTGTCTCAGCCGATCTGGCTCTGCCCTCTCTTTTAAGTAGCAGGGAGTTTTTGAGTTCCATATTTAGAATGTTAATTGTGAATTTTAAGCCATGTAAAATGCTCACAGACATTGAGTGGTGGTGGCTTTAAAAGAGAGAGTAGTAATACTATTCTGAGTTTGTATAGTGACACAATATATGTTTGCTTTTTCAGCAGGTTAAAGGTATATCAGTGTTTCTATGTAAAAATGATAGTCGTCTACAGAACATCTTTTTAGGACAATGCTACAATTTTATTTGCATAAATGTGAGTATTATGGACAAATATGCTAATTATGCACTTCACATTTAAAATATTTTTTGATTTTTTTAAATAAATCAATAACTCACAATAAGTTTTTGTGGGTAATGTGTTTTGAACAATAGTAAAATCAATATTGCCACATAGGAATCTCACTCCTGAGGTTTGTATTTCTAGTGTATGATAGGCCCAGAAATTCCCTTATATTTCAAGTCCATTGAGACACTATGGACTATGCGCCTGGCCTACCCTGCATTCTTGCACTCATTCCAATCACAAGCACCTTGTAAAACCAGCCAGTGAGTTATTGCATAGGAGGGATAAAGAGTTCTTATAAATCACCAGTTGAAAAAATAAACAGTAAAGGATCATAGGGTTGATAGTGTACTTATTTGATTCTTGTTGTGCTATCTCAACAATAGAGTACTCCGACTGGATTTGTCAGAGCCAGTAGGTACCAGCACAGACGTTAGGTGAAGTGCATAATGGATTTGTCCAGGTTTTATGCTCCTGGGGTAATTGACTGAGAATGGGAACAGTTAACTAACAATAGGAACATTAACAATGTTACTGTGTAGGCAGGCTGCTACAGGGGTGCAGACAGCAAGTGTGAAAAATCAGGATGGGGGTGAGGGGTAATAAGAGCCTATATAAGAAAAGACCCAAAAATTGGGACTGTCCCTATAAAATCGGGACATCTGGTCACCCTAGCACAGAATTACATCAGGAGTAAATTTGAGATTCCCTGTAATGCAGTGGTTCCCAAACTGGGGTTCACCAGAAAAATTTCACTAATGGCGGCCAGAGGACCCCGGGCATTGGAGGCAGCAGGTGGGCCCCGGTTGCAGGGCAGACAGCCCCAAGCCGCAGGGAGAGCGGAGCAGGGCAGTTGGGGCTGGCAGCCCGAACCCTCCCCCTATGAGTGGGGGAGCCGGCAGCCCGAATCCCGGCGCTCCATACAGGGCTGGGAGCCCAAGCCCCAGGGAGAGCTGGGCCGGGCAGTTAGGGCCGGCAGCCCGAGCCCTGCCCCCATCAGCAGGGGAGCTGGCCGCCCGAACCCCAGCGCTCTGTGTGGGGCTGATAGCCTGAGCCCCAGGGAGAGCGCGGCTGGGCAGTTGGGGCTGGCAGCGGGACCTGCAGCCCGAGCTCAGTTGACCAGGGCGGTCAATGGGGTCCAGCAGCAGGAGCCCCGTGGAGTGCAGAGGAAATTTAAACTTAAATCCCTGGAAATACTCATTTTTAGGAGGGAGTTCACGAGATTTCACAATTTAGTGAAAGGGGTTCGCAGGCTGTTAAAGTTTGGGAACCACTGCTGTAATGGATGCTTCCACAGAGATTGTAGTCCACTGAGATTGCCTCATGTGGCTATGTGACTGGTTCAGAATGTTGTTGTGGCCATCAAACTCAGGATCCATCACACGGTCTGTGCTGGTACCTACTGGCTCTGACAAATCCATTCTGCTAAACCTCTGGCTAGGATCCTGTACTGGAGCAGGAAGGATTTAATTTGAACCACGTCTAGATTCCAGTTTTGTCACTTATATGCCTTAGAATGTAGCAGAATTTGTGACAGTGCACTATATATGGCTAGTATGGCTATATTATGCACTATGTATGGCTAGTTTCAGAGAAAGAGCCGTGTTAGTCTGTATTCGCAAAAAGAACAGGAGGACTTGTGGCACCTTAGAGACGAACCAATTTATTTGAGCATAAGCTTTCGTGAGCTACAGCTCACTTCATCGGATGCATACTGTGGTAAGTGTAGAAGATCTTATTATATACACACAAAAAGCATGAAAAAATACCTCCTCCCACCCCACTCTCCTGCTGGTAATAACTTATCTAAAGTGATCACTCTCCTTACAGTGTGTATGATAATCTAGTTGGGCCATTTCCAGCACAAATCCAGATTTTCTTTCCCCCCTCCCCCCCCACACACACAAACTCACTTTCCTCCTGGTAATAGCTTATCCAAAGTGACCACTCTCCTTATATTGTGTATGATAATCAAGGTGGGCCATTTCCAGCACAAATCCAGGGTTTAACAAGAACGTCGGGGGGGGGGGGTAGGAAAAAACAAGGGGAAATAGGCTACCTTGCATAATGACTAAGCCACTCCCAGTCTCTGTTCAAGCCTAAGTTAATTGTATCCAATTTGCAAATGAATTCCAATTCAGCAGTTTCTCCCTGGAGTCTGGATTTGAAGTTTTTCTGTTGTAAAATAGCGATTTTCATGTCTGTAATCGTGTGAACGAGCCTCTGATAGTGTGGCTGATGTTATTAGGCCCTGTGATGGTGTCCCCTGAATAGATATGTGGGCACAGCTGGCAACGGGCAAGGACTGGCCTGTCTCCCAAGATTTGTGAGAGTGTTGGGTTATCCTTCAGGATAGGTTGTAGATTCTTAATAATGTGTTGGAGGGGTTTTAGTTGGGGGCTGAAGGTGACGGCTAAAACCCCTCCAACGCATTATTAAGGATCTACAACCTATCCTGAAGGATGACCCAACACTCTCACAAATCCTGGGAGACAGGCCAGTCCTTGCCTACAGACAGCCCCCCAACCTGAAGCAAATACTCACCAGCAACTGGATACCACACAACAGAACCACTAACCCAGGAACCTATCCTTGAAACAAAGCCCGTTGCCAACTGTGCCTACATATCTATTCAGGGGACACCATCACAGGGCCTAATAACATCAGCCACACTATCAGAGGCTCGTTCACCTGCACGTCCACCAATGTGATATATGCCATCATGAGCCAGCAATGCCCCTCTGCCATGTACATTGGTCAAACTGGACAGTGTCTACGTAAAAGAATAAATGGACACAAATCAGATGTCAAGAATTATAACATTCATAAACCAGTTGGAGAACACTTCAATCTCTCTGGTCACACGATTACAGACATGAAAGTCGCTATTTTACAACAAAAAAACTTCAAATCCAGACTCCAGCGAGAAACTGCTGAATTGGAATTCATTTACAAATTGGATACAATTAACTTAGGCTTGAATAGAGACTGGGAGTGGCTTAGTCATTATGCAAGGTAGCCTATTTCCCCTTGTTTTCCCCCCCCTCTCCCCCCGCGACGTTCTTGTTAAACCCTGGATTTGTGCTGGAAATGGCCCACCTTGATTATCATACACATTGTAAGGAGAGTGATCACTTTAGATAAGCTATTACCAGCAGGAGAGTGGGGTGGGAGGAGGTATTTTTTCATGCTTTTTGTGTGTACATAATAAGATCTTCTACACTTTCCACGGTATGCATCCGATGAAGTGAGCTGTAGCTCACGAAAGCTTATGCTCAAATAAATTGGTTCGTCTCTAAGGTGCCACAGGTACTCCTTTTCTTATATATGGCTATAATTTCACCAATCCAAAGCATTACAAATATAAGAGGTATATTAAGGGTGTATTTCCCTTTCCAGTGGATAAAAGAAACTTTTGCTGCACTTTGTGAATTAGGCTTTGCTTTATTTTCTTTTGGTAACTTTAAAATTTGCTTTTATTTAGGCTAAAAAATCAGACATTAAGGAAGCCCAGCAACTAGTGGATAAACTTGAAAAAGCAAGAATTTCTGTTTTACATCCAGTTGTTCTCATTTCGGTAGGTTAACTTATATAAGTTTAATATAATAAACCTCTAAACAGATATAAAATGGTTTTCCTAGAATCTGTATAGTTTATAAAATATTTCGTGTGATGCACCCTGGGATTTTAAGTGTTTTTAAATGGTGAACTGTAAATGAGATTATAAAAAGTCATTGCACTTCATCAATATGTACTTAATGCTGCCAGGAGCCAAGCTGAGGCAGATAAAAGGTACAGCATTAGTTGAAAATTTACTTTATTTTCTTGAAGGTTTCATGGTGTCTAGTCCTAGTGGATCCCACTGCTTTATTATGCCCCATTCATTCTGGCGATGCTGCAGACTGCATAGAGCTCTGTAAGAGTGTGGAACCAGCGAATCAGGTGTCAGATAAATGGCATTTTTAGTTATGTTGTGTGGATTTATCAATTTTAAAATTATGATAATTTTCTGCCACATGTATTACAGGGAAATTTGAAAAACTGTGTACAATATAATTTAAAAATGTCATTTACCTACCTGCATCTCTTAAGACCTAATAGATTCAGCTATGCGTAAACTTTCATTAAGTATCAGTCTTTCTAAGTGTATATATTATCAATCTGTATGTGGCTTACATTCTGGTTACATGGGTCATTTGCTACTGCTGCTGAGGATATCTTCAGATTTTGGGCTGAATGCTGTTTCTACACCTAGAGGGGCAGAGGGATTCATATCCACACAAAATGTGAGACAAGCATTTTCCATGCAACTGAGCAGCTCTGCAAGCCTCTGCTTCTACTGAACAGCTGTGCATAGTTCTCTCTACTAGTGTTCTGCCTTGCTGAAAGAATGGAGACAGGGGAGTTACCAGTTCTACCTAGTACTAAGGATTATGCTGCTGTATTGTACTTAAAGGTTTTGGTAGAAATAGTGCATCACAACTGACTGTTACTTTAAATATCATTCTTTGAGTAAGGTACTTGTAAACATATAGGTTGATGTTATACATGAAGCCACTGGCAGTAGAATCTCAGCTAGTCGGAGAGGATTGCATTGTCTAAGGGTAAGGCTAGGAGTCAAGAACTCCTGAGTTCTAGTCTCAGCCCTGACGGTCACTTTCTCTGTATCCAGAACAAATCACTTATCCTTTACCAACTAACAGAGATGTTGTGAAGATTCATTAGTTAATGTTTATAAAACACTTTCCAAGTGAATAGAACATCACAAGTACTACATCCTTATCTGACCCAAGTGTTCGCTGCACACAGTGGGCTAGTGTGAATGCTGATCCTTGGCATCTGAGAATTTAGTGTTCACTTGCTTATGGACGTTTATGAGGAAATTCAGTAGGGACCTCCATGCATACCAACCTCTTAAGTTTTAGGTGGGGCTTCCTGTGTTTACCTATGAGAAACAGAGAAAATCCAGATCTCTCACTCCTGCACCCAGTATTTAGGGGCCTCCATAAAAGACTCTTCTTTCTTACCAACTATTCAGCTGTGTGGTAACACAAAATACTTTCCCTCTGGGGCAGAATATTGTTTGCATTATCCCTTGAATAACTGCTTTAATCACTTTCTGTACATATAAAGCCCAAGGAGGAGCATGATGAGTGAATCTTTATAGAATTATCAATCAGCCAGATAACACGATAACTTTAAAATCTTTTGCAGTAGATGTCCTTGTCTGTTATCAGATGGGTATTAAATTCTTTCTTGTCTGGGGTGTAAAATGAAAGGGCTAAGGATTGATAGTAGCAATAATAAAACATACCAGACTCATGTCAATGTTTGAAGAAAAATATATGAGAACATAAATTCCTTACAAGAACTCACTAAGGAAACTTCTGTCAGGGTTCTGCCCTCAAACTACACAGATCCTGACATCTGCCTGCGGTGCGACACCATCTTTGCAGAAGCTCTGATTCTCTGCCCTGCCTCCCAATCCCAAATTGTTAAACTGTTAATACCTTCTAAGAAGAATAAGATACATTTTAAACTACGGGATCTGATTCATCTGTTAAGTTATTCTCACAGTACATTCTAAATATCCCTGGCCTAGATAGCCTGGGAATAGCCTTAATAACAGATACACAAAATTGCCTGTTTATGAAACATAGTTTTGATGCACACGAAGTCTCTCTTCAAAATAGAGCAATGTCCTAAAAATAAATAGACCTGGTGCTTAAAAAAAAGCTTTGTATAGAATTCTTTGTCCAGAATTCTTATTGCTACCTATTCATATTCTCGGTTTATGGAGCTTCCACATTATTTTCAGAAATAGAAAATGGAAAGAGGTCTGAAAAAGATGTTTTTAATTAATAAAGAGTTAAACAAATCATTGTTTCATATTAATCACTGGGAACTATTTAAATCCTTTAAACTTTTGATCCCTAAAATTCACTACAGATGGTATAGCTGAGGGATAGAAATTTCTTTCATCAGTCTTTAATTATTCAGTGTTGGGTGTACTCCTAAGTAATGGCAACTATAGTGAAATTCTTCTCAGTTTGATATATTTTTTTTAAAAATAAAATAAATTTAACTTACAGAACCTGAATGAAGTGTTAGAAAACTATTCTGTATAGCATTGCTCTTTTGATGTAAAAGTGGATACGTAGATTTCTCAGACAAATAAATGTCAAAACTTACGGTATTATGAGGCTGTTGGCACAATTGGTCATTATGTTTTTTTAGATACTGGTTGACTGATTAACATTTCCCTTTTTGAGTCCAGAAGTAAACGTATCCCTTGCTATGGAGCCAGGAAGGGATAGGTGAAAAGAAGCAGCAGACTTCCTCTAATCTAACATAGAAAAACCTGTATTAAGGGTTTTTCCTTCCGCCCTGACAAGCATTTTATTTCCTTTTTTGTATAAATAGAAAGTTCTCACACTCTGCACTTATTTCAGAACACCTTCTCTGATTAAAAAAAATGAATCCGATCACTGGCAGAATTGGTTTTGTATTACTTTGCTTTTTTTTTAGTGTTTAACTTTTTTGATTCTCTGGTGCATTGCACTGCTTAGCACCAAACCACCAATTTAGCTAGCGAGGGGAGGATTGCTGCAGTATAAGGTTTTAGAGTAGAAGCCGTGTTAGTCTGTATCCGCAAAAAGAAAAGGAGGACTTGTGGCACCTTAGAGACTAACAAATTTATTTGAGCATAAGCTTTTGTGAGCTACAGCTCACTTCATCAGATGCATGCAGTGGAAAATACAGTGGGGAGATTTATATACACAGAGAACATGAAACAATGGTGTTACCATACAGACTGTAACAAGAGTGATCACTTAAGGTGAGCTATTACCAGCAGGAGAGCTGGGGAGGAACCTTTTGTAGTGATAATCAAGGTGGGCCATTTCCAGCAGTTGACAAGAACATGTGAGGAACAGTTTGGGGAGGGGGAATAAACATGGGGAAATAGTTTTACTTTGTGTAATGACACACCCACTCCCAGTCTTTATTCAAGCCTAAGTTAATTGTATCCAGTTTGCAAATTCCAATTCAGCAGTCTCTCGTTGGAGTCTGTTTTTGGAGTTTTTTTGTTGAAGAATTGCTACTTTTAGGTCTGTAGTCAAGTGACCAAAGAGATTGAAGTGTTCTCCGACTGGTTTTTGAATGTTATAATTCTTGACGTCTGATTTGTGTCCATTTATTCTTTTACATAGAGACTGTCCAGTTTGGCCAATGTACATGGCAGAGGGGAATTGCTGGCACATGATGGCATGTATCACATTGGTAGATGCACAGGTGAACGAGCCTCTGATAGTGTGGCTGATGTGATTAGGCCCTATGATGGTGTCCCCTGAATAGATACGTGGACACGGTTGGCAATGGGCTTTGTTGCAAGGATAGGTTCCTGGGTTAGTGTTTTTGTTGTGTGGTTGCTAGTGAGTATTTGCTTCAGGTTGGGAGGCTGTCTGTAAGCAAGGACTGGCCTGTCTCCCAAGATCTGTGAGAGTGATGGGTCATCCTTCAGGATAGGTTGTAGATCCTTGATGATGCGTTGAAGAGGTTTTAATTGGGGGGCTGAAGGTGACAGCAAGTGGCATTCTGTTATTTTCTTTGTTGGGCCTGTCCTGTAGCAGGTAACTTCTGGGTACTCTTCTGGCTCTGTCAATCTGTTTCTTCACTTCAGCAGGTGGGTATTGTAGTTGTAAGAACGCTTGATAGAGATCTTGTAGGTGTTTGAGCAAACGCGGTTGTATCATAGAGTTGGCAGTCCAACGAAAGACTGCTGAATTGGAATTAATTTGCAAACTGGATACAATTAACTTAGGCTTGAATAAAGGCTGGGAGTGGATGTGTCATTACACAAAGTAAAACTATTTCCCCATGTTTATTCCCTCCGCCCCCCACTATTCCTCACACGTTCTTGTCAACTGCTGGAAATGGCCCACTTTGATTATCACTACAAAAAGGTTCCCCCCCCCCCGCCCCCGGCTCTCCTGCTAGTAATAGCTCACCTTACCTGATCACTCTTGTTGCAGTCTGTATGGTAACACCCATTGTTTCATGTTCTCTGTGTATATAAATCTCCCCACTGTATTTTCCACTGCATACATCTGATGAAGTGAGCTGTAGCTCATGAAAGCTTATGCTCAAATACATTTGTTAGTTTTTAAGGTGCCACAAGTCCTCCTTTTCTTTTCGCAGTATAAGGGTGACCCTTTAGTGGCGTACAGGCAGCATAGGGGCTCCTACATCACTTGCCCTCCTTACTGATACAGTAGCAGGGTGTGGCCAGGATGTCACTATATCATACTGATACCTGAGTACATTTTTGGCCCATTGGACCCTTTTGTAACCAGCATAAGTGAACACTGATTGGCCTGCTATAACCCAGTACAACAGGGAAGGGAAGGGTGGGGTTAGACTAGGAACAGGGGAGCACAAAGGTAAACTTTACACAGTTTTTCCACCTCTCCTACAACAAACATGAGCTCTCTGCTGAACAGCTAAACTCCAGCTTTGGACCCAATATCTCTATTCCCACACTAACACAGCTGCTCTAAACTCTGTATAAACTTGTAGGTATATGTTTCACTGGACAAATGTATTGTGCGTAAACCTGTTATAATACATTTCCTGCATTTTCACTATTAATGCATTATAGCCTTTGCCACTATCAAAAGCGTGGTTAAGATTGCTATTTTAACTCAATTTTCATTCTCACAACTTTTTGGGGGGAGGGGGCACGGAGGAAGGAGAGTGGAGGACTTTGGGGCCGAATGTCCAATATTTGCTCTTAGTTCAAAGGTAAGTTTGAGGAAAACCTCTTCAGCAAAATCTCTTCTTATGAATTTTGTGAATGTGACTAAAATATATAGCTTTTGACTACACGTTATCTTGACTTGAGTCTCTCAAAAAAGCAGAAGTTTTAAAATTTGCTTGTAAATTGTCATTAAGGAGTAGTGCCTCAGCTAAATTTTTAAAAGAATTGATTTATATTTAACAAAGTTATGAGTGGTTTGAAAATTGCATTCTTAGCATGCACAACAAAACATTGTGTTTTAGTGCACATTTCCACATGTCTGTGCTGGACATGCATGCACAGTTTGGAAAGTGTTAATTTTTAAAGATATGTTAAGAGGCAGTTACTCACCACAGACTGTTGGCTTGATTGTTCCAGTTGGAACAGTAAGTTGAGAGGTGCAGGCAGGTACATGGGAAGCTGCAATAGTTTACAATGCCACAGATTCTTCTTCGAATGCTTGCTCATATTGATTCCATTCTAGGTGTGTGTGCGCCCACATGCACAGTCGGAGACTTCTGTGTTAGTCGTATTCGTAAGGTTGGCTGTGGTGCATCCTTGAGTGCCACCAACCCTATGCCCTCTCAGTTCCTTCTTACCACCAATGGCGGTTGGTCGGAGTGCCTTGTCTTGCATCGCAAAAGCGTGAGCAGTTCTTTCGGACCCCATTGTTCTGTCTCCCTTGTAGTTAGTTGTTAGGTATGGACCATTAAGTTAAGTGTTAGATAATCATTTTAGTAGTTAGAGTCCTGACTGGGACTTCGCTGCAGAACTTCCCCAGGCTTTAACCCATGTTCATCATGTACCCAGCCAATGCCCATTAGTGACCCCCACGATATCTGTTTGAAGTGGTGGATAGAGCACTAGGCTGCGATGGAGACCTGAGTTCTATTCTTGGCTCTGCCATTGCCGCTTGGGTAACCTTGGGCGAGTTGCTTCACCTCCCTGTACTTCAGTTTCCCCATCTGTAAAATGGGGATTATGATACTGACTTCCTTTGTAGAGCGCTTTGAGATCTACTGCTGAAAAATGCTATATAAGAGCTGGGTGCTATAATAATCAGTAGTGGTATTTTCTATCCTTAATGTTCTGGTTAAATATATAGTAGAATATAATCCTGTTTATGTTGTAAAATGCAAATAATAAAATATGTAGAATGTACAATGTCATGAAGATAAGATTCCATCACCAATATTAACTCTTGAATTTCATGATTTGATAATGCACTGTGAATGTGTAGACTCAGTGCCACACGAGCACATTTTTTTCATGTAATATACATTGTCATAATCTTCAACAATCAGGTCCTTTCCCTGATGGCAGGTAGAGGATTTTGCATCATTCATAATGCTTTTTCCCTTTAGTGTAAGGTGCCTTGTAGTTGTGAGTTTCTGCTTATTAAAAATATTACTTTAGCTTTTCTTAAACATGTCATGTTGATGGACATTGATATAGACACACAATATATTTTTGAAGCAGTAATGAGGGTTCTGTAAGGCTTGAAGTGGAGCAGAAGAAAGGCACAAGTGTTGTCAAGGCATGACTCACTAGCTCTTGCCTCCATCAGGAAAGGTAGGCAGGACTGGTAATTACAATACTCAATCTCAAATCAAAGTATTTGAACAACACAAAGTCTCATTAAGATTTTAGGGACTTGAATTTTCTGAAAAATAGCTTTTTATTTTTGTGTTTTATGACACTCATTTTAACTATCCAGTAGCATAGCCATGACATCATATGAAAAACATTATATGAAGAAATGTCCTTCTTCAATCTTGGTTTTCTGTGCTTAATAGAAACTTTGTGAAGAGGTAAAGATCAAAATAGTTGGATTGTTGTCAAGCCTGAGTCAAAGTTTGAGAACTAGTTACTTCTCTTTACAATGCTGAAGTGCAGTATTGTATAGAATGCAACTTAGGGATCTACACTGCAGGGGGATCGATCTAAGTTACACAACTTCAGCTACATTTTTCATGAAATCGACGTACTTAGATCTACAGCGGTGTCTTCACTGTGGTAAGTCAATGCCTGACACTCTCTCCTGTCAACTCCACCTGCGCCTCTTGTCCTGATGGACTACCGGAGGAGACAGGAGAGCGCTCGGTAGTCGATTTATCACATCTAGACTAGACGCGATAAATCGACCCCCGCTGGATCAGTCGCTGCCCATCGATCCAGCGAGTAATGTATACAAGCCCTTACAAATGCAATGTCCCAGACAAAGAGAACAGACACAGCAAATATTCTTGAGAATGTGATTCCACATTGAAAAACTAAAAGATGTTAAAGGAAAACATCTGTACTCTTCTCTGATTTCTTCAGGTGAGAATTCGATTTGTGAATCCATTGATACTAAACAATTGCATGAAAGATGGATCAGAGATTAGAGATTATTTTTTAATTAATAATTTTTTAAAGATTCCATCACTTCTGGCATGTTGATTTATCTAGATTTTGAAAAAGTTTTCCTCTTATTAAATAATTGAGTCATGGAGCATCACATTAATACAAATTTATAAATAAATCCCTTGCCAGCTTATATTATTTGTGTGTTTATTTAACAATTTTTTAAAAAAATCTGGAGATCTAACAGAATATATTTTGTAATATAATGTAGTAATGGTTTGCTTTTTGCACCCCTTTGCAGGTCCACTTGAATGTTTCAGAAAATATGTCTTTCAGCAATGGAATGGAAGAACTGGCTTGGATAAAGGAATTTGCAAGGGAAGTGAAAAAGAAAAATATTTTGGTTTATGGTCTTCTCATCCATTACAATAAGGTATGTAACTCTCTTTATACCTGCAAATTATCTACTTTTGTAAACTATATGATTAATTATAAGAATCTTCTTCATTTAAAAAAATCAAAGGGAAATAAATATGACAAGGTAAAGTTTTGTTGAAAAGATCCTTGCCTGTTCATGTTCAATATTCAGTAGAGCCTCTGGTTACAGGCAAAAATGTAAGTGATTTGATTAGAGAGAAAAAATGGTAAATAGTAAAAAAAAAACAAAAACAAAAAAAAAAAAACGTGACCATGCTTGAGCCTTTCTTTTCCTGTTAACTTTTAAAACTTGGCATTTGCAGCTTTTTAAAATGGAAAATATTAGAAGTATTTGTAATCAAAATTGATTTTTCAAGTGTGTTCCGTTCCTGCATCAGAACAAAGTTTGGTATTCAGGTAACAAAAAGGACATGGCATATAACTGGTGAAACAAACAGTATCCATATCTCCAGTAGTAGTAGACTGCCAAGGCAATCTACAGCATCTTTGTACTTAGAAAAGCTATTTAAAATTAACCTTTTTGTTTGGGGATATGTTCTGCTTACAAAACACAGTAGGCTACTTTGCCACTAGTGCATATATAGTTTTCATTGTGCTGGCAGCTTTATAGCTTCATAAAGCCAACAGTTAAGAGATGCAAATATTCAATATTCAACTGATGTTTAAATAAGTGGAATAAATGTATTTTTTACTGAATGTTTGGAATATGGTAGTTTAGAGTTAGATGTGGCTGACTAGTCACAACTGTAGTTCATAACATTTTAGCCTTTTTTTCCAAAAGTGCTGAGGCCTCAAAAATCCCATTGATTTTAATGAGAGTTGTGGATACTTAATATCTTTGAAAATCAGGTCACTTATATTTAAAGACTTATTAATGTTATTATAGGAATACTGTTATAAATAACTGTAATTCTCCTTCAACATCAACCCCTCTATAGAAGGATGTATTTTATTCAGATGTATATTTTCAGATTATATAATCTTTCTAAGATGAAATTTAAAATTCAAAGTCTCAGATGAAGGTCAAAAGTTATTTTGAAATAAAATTTGGGGCGAAAAAAATCAAGATGACCCTTATTAAATTATACAACCACAAATAAAATAATTTAGTGGTTTCAAACACCTTTTGCACGTAGGGCTTCAGAATGACTTTCTGTCATTTCAAAATGTAATATGACAGGGTATCTTTAAATATGGTGGCAAATAAAAATTTAATCACAAACTATTTTGCTTAGAAAGTAACTACTGTGCATTACTTTAACTGAAAAGTTAAAAATATTTAGCAGACTCTCAAAGATTAAATCTTGTTTTGATGCATGTGTGCACTGACTCATCTATTGTAAACCAGCTGTATTACTTGCATAACTTAAATGCTAGGTTTAAGCTTTGAGTGATTTTTTCCCCCCCCAGAAATTATAAACTTCCTTATCATTCATTCTGTACATCGAAGCTATATAGGCAAGATAGGTCTGTAAGATCTTTTCTGTCTACTGGTTCTGTAATTCACAAGATGAAAGGATTTACATAAACTTACTGAAACAGGTCCTAGAATCTTACAAGATTAGGGTGGGAAGAGACCTCAGGAGGTCATCTAGTCCAGCCCCCTGCTCAAAGCAGGACCAACGCCAACTAAATCATCCCAGCCAGGGCATTATCAAGCTGGGCCTTAAAAACCTGTAAGGAAGGAGATTCCACCACCTCCCTAGGTAACCCATTCCAGTACTTCACCACCCTCCTAGTGAAATAGTGTTTCCTAATATCCAACCTAGACCTGCAACTTGAGACCATTGCTTCTTGTTCTGTCATCTGCCACCATTGAGAACAGCCTAGTTCCATCCTCTTTGGACACCCCATTCAGGTAGTTGAAGGCTGCTATCAAATCCCCCTTCACTTTTCTCTTCTGCAGACAAAACAAGCCCCGTTCCCTCAGCCTCTCATCATGAGTCATGTGCCCCAACCCCCTGATCATTTTTGTTGCCCTCCACTGGACTCTTTCCAATTTGTCCACATCTTTTCTGTAGTGAGGGCCCAAAACTGCATGCAATACTCCAGATGTGGCCTCACCAGTGCAGAATAGAGGGGAATAATCACTTCCCTCAATCTGCAGTAGTGCTCCTACTAATGCAGTCCAATATGCCGTTAGCCTTCTTGGCAACAAGGGCACACTGCTGACTCATATCCAGCTTCTCATCCACTGTAATCCCCAGGTCCTTTTTTGCAAAACTGCTGCTTAGCCAGTCAGTCCCGAGCCTGTAGCGGTGCATGGGATTCTTCTGTCTTGAGTGCAGGACTCTGCACTTGTCCTTGTGGAACCTCATCAGATTTCTTTTAGCCCAATCCTCCCATTTGTCTAGGTCACCCTGGCCCCTAGCCCTACCCTCCAGCATATCTACCTCTCTCCCCAGCTTAGTGTCATCTGTGAACTTGATGAGGGTGCAATCCATCCCATCATCCAGATCATTAATAAAGATGTTGAATAAAACTGGCCCCAGGACCGACCCCTGGGTACTCCGCTTGATACCGGCTGCCAACTAAACATTGAGCCATTGATCACTACCCGTTGAGCCCGACCATCTAGCCAGCTTTCTATCCACCTTATAGTCCAATGCATACTTTTTTAACTTGCTGGCAAGAATACTGTGGGAAACTGTACCAAAAGCTTTGCTAAAGTCAAGATATATCACGTCCACTGCTTTCCCTATATCCACAGAGCCACTTATCTCATCATAGGAAGCAATCAGGTTGGTCACGCATTACTTTCCCTTGGTGAATCCATGTTGACTGTTCCTGATCACTTTCCTCTCCTCCAAGTGCTTCAAAATGGTTTCCTTGAGGACCTTGAGGTCTCCAGAAAGGTCTCAAATCACTAATCTTCATATTAAGAAATCCCTAAATCTGTATTAAATAATAAAACGTAATATCTCTGTTAATCTATTACTACTTATAACATAAGGGAACTTTAAAATAATTTAACTTACATTTACATGAATGATCATAATGGGTCCTATAGAGCCAAAACAGTGCAGCAGATCTTCATTTTAAGAAGTTTATAAATTACAGTGTAATGTAGCAGCTTTTACAGTCATATAATTAGTTGGTTGTGGCAACTCCTAAACACTTTCTGAATGATTTTTAAATAAATGTAACTATTAAGGGGCAAGAAATTTAGTTTTACTTCTAGCCCTGTGGCCGTCTGGATTAAGGAGAATGTGGTTGTGGGGACAGAATATGGGTGGCTTGCAGATAACCACATTCTGCTTTGTTGTGGGAGCACACTTTTAATGGGGTGGGGGAGATCAGGTGTCATAAAGCTTTGTGACAGGTTTCAGAGTAACAGCCGTGTTAGTCTGTATTCGCAAAAAGAAAAGGAGTACTTGTGGAGGTGCCACAAGTACTCCTTTTCTTTTTATAAAGCTTTGTAAATTCCTCCTGTTCTTACCTAGGCAGTGCTTCTTTCAGAGTAGACTTCGGCAGCCTTGGGTCAGGAAACACTGATATAACTGCTGAAATGTCATTTGGAGGAGTTCAAGCAGGCAGTAAGCACTAAAAAAATTAAGTCTAATATGGACCTATTAGGCCATCATCCTTCAAGTGCAGGTTATAGTTTCCTGTTAGAGGATATATCAGAGTACCCTTTCTTATATATAGATGGATCAAATATGGGACATGAGCATACCAAGTATATCCTTTTAAAGTTAAGAATAGTTGTATTATGTCTGCTAAAGGCACAGATCATAACCACAGAATATTTGAATTGATTTTAATCCCAGAGAGTTGAACAGCTGCTGAACCAGTGTTTTGGATGGATGGACTGTATCCTGCAGCTTTTAAGTACAGTTTTTGTTTGCTAATTATAAAGTGATGCTGAGAATTTTTTTGATTTACTAAAGAGTTATATTTTTTATGGACCAAAGGTTTCTAGGGAGTTACTCAGAAACAGTGAAACAAAACTAAAGGCCTCTATAACTGGTACAAATGATCTGTACTGTATCCTGTAAATACTGTGTCAGTCATTCAAAAAGAGCATGTGCTTGTAAACAAAGGGTGACCTATCAATATAACTATGCATGAAATTCTAAAATAATAATATTGATACAAAGGTTGGATTCATTTAGCAACAACTCTTGTTTGTGTTCTGAGTGATTACATGGAATTTATTCCTTCACTACTTACCAAACACATATTTTCCAAGACACGGTCTTGTGGAACATGGGCAAACACAAATTAAATCTTGTTTACTGAAATCCACAATATATTGTTGAATTCAACCCCCTCCCGCCCCCCCGGAAAGGAGTTAAAAAGAAAGTCATTCTTAATTAGTAAATTTGTTCATTTTATACTTAGGGTCAAATATTTAGGGTTGTCTGCAGGGTCATGGTGTAGGACAGGGACATGGCCAGCAATCCTCAGAGCCCAAGGAATTGGAACTCAGCAGAATTTGGAGAGATGTATGGAGAGACAATTCTTCACATTTCCTCACAGAGGAACATGGCTCCCTGAGTATCTCTTTTCTGCACCCCAGCGTCTCCCACAATTCTGCATGTCTGGTTTCCTCCCCTCTACTCTGCAGCTCACAGAGGCGATCAGAGATTTGGTATTTCACAGCCTGGCCACACTCCCTTTGCTTCCACTTCCCCCACTCTCTGCGGCAGTGGTCAGTTGGCGGTTACACTGTTCCTACTTTTTTTTATTTCTATCCTTATTTTTCTCCCTTTCTGGGGGGAAGTGGTGATCAGTTTCTCTATTTCAGGCTTCTTTCTTCTTCTTCCCTGGGTCGGTCTTAAGCAAGCCTGATGGTTCAATTCTCTCAGCCTCCACTGCAGCATCTTCTGTCGGCTCCTCTGCCCCTGTACAGGCATGGCAGAGCAACCAAGAAGGCACCCGGGTCAGATTCAAGAAGTGCTCCATTTGTCAGGCAGCCTTCCCAAGCTCAGCAGATGGTGAGTTGTACCCAGCCAGCTGACCCTAACTGCTTTAGGTCTCAGGGCTATGAGA